TATATATGCGTAAAAAAACATAATATCTTTTTCTATAATGCAAGCTTGTACACTTTGTAGATGCATTTAATAATTTCTATTACATTATTTTTACAAAATGAATATGTAAAAAATATTTCTATAATACTAAAATAGAAATGCTTGTAACAGCTGGTACGTGAATCATCCGAGTATTTATATTCTCTCACAAAATTGTACAAAACTTTCTCTTTCTCTTTCTTTTTACGTGTCTCAGCATTCATTATTGTCATACATATGCATCTTTTGGTCGACGAAAGAATTTATATTAATGCTGATATTGTTACTTATGTAACGTGTTAACAGCTTAGCTCCGCATTTCTCAATAGTCCACTGTTCCGTCCACCAATTGCGCTTATTGATCTCGCCCGTTATCGGATCTCTTGGCAGAGAACAATTGTACTGTCTTTTCGTTACTACACTCTTTTCCAATTTGTGATTATTCTTCTGTATTTGTTCGCAGACAAAGCATTCGAATTTGTCCACGTATTTCCCAAATTCGTTAGAAATCGCCGTCGGTCTCCTTTCGAGCACGCGTAACAACTCGTTATTTGCAACGCGATTTTCGCGCTTGCTCAATTTGTGGGGCAAATATTCTTCGTATGCAGAATCATTTTTTAAAAGATTGTGCAAAAATTTGGCGAGTTCTATCGGACCGGCAAAGTCTAATATTGAGATGGCAGATTTATTATTTGGGAGCCAATCCTATACAAAAGATAAAAAACGAGCAGTTAAAGCAGGTTCAATTGCAAGTCACAATTTCCAACATACCTTAAAGGACGGCGATCCGTAATATATTGGTACCGAACCAACGATAAGCGGCCTCCACAGTTTTTCCGTGATATAATCGTCGCAAATCGCATTCTCAAAGGCTATGGTAAACTTATATTTGGCCACAAAGGACAAGAATTCACGATTATTTAAAATATCGAGGTAATTGTTCTTCAGCCTAAACAAGCACGTTTTATCATTTAATTTTGCGCAAGCTAAGGACTGTTGGCAGAGAACAATGCAAGGTAGAGGAAAACGTGAGTCTTATACAAAATCCTTTCGCAACTTACGTTTTCCTCTGCCTTACGTTATCGAGGATCATTCTCTGCCAAAACCGCATTGCATTAAGTAAACGTACCTGTCGTCGAGCTGTGCGTTGTTCACACATGTACCGTAGGAGTCAATTCGAATATGCTTCATTAACTCTAAGACGTAACGATCCCTGTCACTAGCGGTATCACAGTCAGATTGAATATATAATACTGGTGCTAAATCTTTCGCCTGCATTAGCGCAGACTTCTCTTTGGTAGATATGTAATACGACTCTCCTGCAAACGCCCCATTCTTACAGACTTGTCCGTTAGAATTTTCGACGATACGAATCGTTACTTGCAATAGCAGAACGTTAGATCGGAGGAAAGGACGTGCGAGATATTAACTTTCTGTCCGCATTTACCTACTAATTCCTCTACATCCGGTAGATCGAGAAGCGTGAGCGGCACGTTGCTAAATCTGCTGAACGTCGAGGAGTAGTTGAAGAGATTGAGCGCCTCCTCGTGAACGAGCACAGGATTATTCCTGGGAGATTCCTCGTGGAGCAGGCCCCA